ATCCTTCTCTATTTCTGCCTTTGCACAGAAGCCAGTGACTATCAAAGTCCATGTTAGTTTAAGTTAGAGGGTCTGATCGAGTTCATAAAATTTCTCTAGCTCTGCAACAGAAAGAGGCACATAAACCGGAGTTATACCCCAGTCGCCCTTTTTGCAAATATTTACCCCAAGCCCTAGAATAGGAGACGACCACATGTCCCATGAAATTATGTCATTTTGATGCCTCCAGGACACATGAAAGAACCAGCTCTGCCACCTTTCCTTTCTACCCCCTGGACAACCTGGGAGCCATCCCTTCCACGTGGCTGCAGCTTCCTTCTTTCTTATGGTTTCATTCCTAGTGAAAAATGTTAAGTATGCCAAAAACCAGTTCCTGCAGCAGACACAAGTCACATATCTCATGCTCAGAGTATCAAGAGTTAAGCCAGTTTAGAAAAGGTCTGAAAGCTATATGATTCTTAGCCCCCTCTGCCCTCTGTTCTGCCACTTGGACGCCAGCATCGTGTTAATGGAAGGGGGAAAACCAGTGGTGGGAGAGAGGGAGAGAGAGAGGAGGGGGGGAGAAAAAGAGGGAGAGAGAGAGAGAGAAGGGAGAGAGAGTGTGAGTGTGTGTGTGTGTGTGTGTGTGTGTGTATTTCATGGGTTGTCCTCAAAAAAGAATCCATCCCCAAGTGGCTAGCCTAAGACTAAAGGGCCTCTTCAGACTCCCTGACATAACCCCTTAGACTGTGGCCAACATGGTGCTTGAAGGCCTCCTAGTACGGGAGACTCTGCCATGACTCGCACCCTGTGATCAGTCTTTGAGAAATCAGGGTCATCTCCACACCCCAGTGAGACACTGGGACAGGATTTTGTGGTGCCCTGTAAAATATGCACTTCAATGAATAAGAATAATAATAATAACTGATATGCATACAACTCCTTAAGATTAAAGTACCTATGACACTTTCTGTCTTGAGCCTCACAACAACCCTGTGAGGCTAATGATATGATTATTCCCATTTTGCAAATGAGGAAATTTAATTGTCCAGGGTCATACAGCTAGTATTGGAGGCCGCATTTGAACCCAGATCTTTCTAGTTAAACGTGTAGCTCTCTATCCTCTGTTTCCCATTGCCTTCTTTGCAGCCTGTACTAAATCTAATTATCCAATCCCTGGCGAAGGACTAGCAGCACCTAATTACTGCATGCACAGTAAGTGTGAGCAGACTTCTGAATGGAGGGCATTTCTCAGGCTGCAGATGTAACTCGGGCAGGGCAAAATCTGCAGTGAAACAGAGAGAATAAACAAAACCTGCTGTGTCCATGCTGGCCTGGCCCTAGGTCTTCTGCCTCTGCCTCAAAGACCACTGTTCTTTTCCCTAGAGTATCTGAGACAGGACAGGCAAAAGGCAAAAACCAGGGTACTTCAGAGGTAAAACTATAGCATGAAAAGCAATGAATAGGGGAAAAGGAGAAGGATGTCACAGGAAATGAAGATTTTGTAAAACAAAAGTTATCAATAAATTATTGGGTTTTGTTTTTTGGTTTTTGTTTTTGATGAGGCAATCGAGGTTAAGTGACCTGCCCAGTCACACAGCTAGTAAGTGTTAAGTGTCTGAGGCTGGATTTGAACTCAGGTCCTCCTGACTCCAAGGCCAGAGTTCTATTCACTGTGCCATCTAGCTGCCCCAAATTATTGTTAAAAAAAAAAAAAGCAAAGAACAGCAGCCATGGAAGGATCATGATCAATAACCTGGAAGTTCCATCACAAGTCCAAAACTGAATTTTGATAAGACTCCTGAGATTCATTTGTCTGCTCATTCTGCAGAATAGAGAGAACCTGAAAACATAAGTCTAAAGAGGAGGCTTAATGTAATCTTGAATTTAAATAGCAAACTAAGTTTTTATTTGCATCTTTACCATAATTTAATGACAAATCCATTTGTTGTAGACAAATTCCGGAGATCAAGTTAATATTTAAAGCCATGCCATTATGCAAGAATGGGAAACAATGAACTGTAGAAAAATCAGGAGACAGGGCCATTTATCAGGCCTCATTTATTAGTAAAGCATGGCTTACTAGTCACAGTCCTCTGAGATGAATTGTGGGGATGTGGAGGAGGACCGAGGAGGGAGAATTCAATTTTGAAATACATTTTGTCCTTGTGGAGGACACAAGGAGGAGAAGGAGCCCTTGCAGTGTTATGGCGACAGGCCTTCCTTAGCAGGAGAATGAAGTACTGAAAAGAGAGATCTTCGTGGCAGTCTATTTTTATTAAACTCTAAAACTGCATGATATGCATGACGATGAAATACCGTGGACCCAAAACATTCTGAATACTTCAAATGTTTTGTAAGTTTTTACTGCATTTTGACCACACCAGACTGTAGGTGAATGCTAAGAAGCAGTGGGATGCCACGGAATGATCCTTGCCTGACCATGAAGTCAGGGGCTGGAGCCTAGGAAGTTCCCTGCTTTCCTACTTGCCACCTTTGTGATCATGAGCCATTCATTCATCACTCAGGGCCTCAGTTTCCTCATCTGAGAATGGAAGGGGGTTAGCTAGAGGGGTCTCTACAGACTCTTCCAAATCTGAACCCAATTCTCTTCCTTCCAACCCTAAAGCCTGTGGTGCCTGGGCTCCATTTACCAACACGTTAAGGATAGTTATTTCATTGGGGTTGGGGGAGTACTCCTTCACCAATGTGATCATTAATAACCTTTCTGTGAGTCAGTATATGGTTTTTAAGAGCTGCTGTGGACAAAAAGACTCATAATTTTGTAATCAAGCTAATAATGAGCTCCTCTGACCTTCTGTTGTCTTAGAGAACAGCCCATTGCTAGGTTGATCCTTGAAGACCACTGAGCCCAAGGGACCCTGTAATACCATGTACTGTGATTCAAGGCCTTGAAGAACCTTGGGTCATTTCTATACCACTAGAAGGCATCAGACAAGGCCTTGAGTGAAATCTGTAACATCTTCAGATGTGTTTTGGAATAGACATGTACATCAGAGGACGATGGTAAAGATGGTAAGGGGAGGAAATGTGCCCTGTGTATTCTGATCACCAGATCAATGACAAAGAGCCAATGTACAAAATTCTCAAGGTGTGAACAGCCCTCTCAGAGGATTTCAGTCTCAGAGCTGAACACTGAGTTTATTTAGGACACAGGCAATTCTGCTGTGATCTGACAGTCTGAGCTCTCACTGAGATCTGCTGCATGCATCAGCAGAAACAATGAGGCATACTTGCTTTACAAAAAGAAGAGAAAGTCCCGTCTTCCTTGCCATAACCTAGTGGACAAAGGCTCTGCCTTTGCCTTTGGCCCACAGCCCTCTCGGCTTAACAAGGAAAATGTCCGTGTGGCCGGACCTTCCTTTTGGTCAAAGGGCTGAAAAAGAAAGGCCTTATAAAGCCAGTTGTGAGGTGTATGCCTTCCTAATCAGCAGCTCACATCCCAGTGATTCCACCATTCCAGGCTCTGGTGAGTGTCGTTAACAGGGCAGCTAAGGAACCACACACAAGTGATCTGCTCGCCTTCACGCAGGTGACCCGATGAGCATGTGGCAAAGAAAACCCCAGAAACCCCAGCAGCTCCCTGAGACACTGAGGCAGTCTTGGTGCAAAATACTCCACGGGAAAGTTCAAACACATCAGCACATTCTTCTAAGGGAAGACACGGATGAGAATTACTTTCAGGTCAGGATAAAAGACCAGATTCTGGGAAGATGAGGCACCAGTTCTCATTTCTAATCAGGAAGCCCAAAGTGGCCATCCTTCAGTAAGGAAATGAGATATTCAGCTTTAAGCTGCTCTCAGTCTGTTGCCAATGTGTTTCCCTGATTTCTAGACTTAAAGAATTAATCCTAACATCATTAAATGAGCCTAGTATTTAACTGACATTTTGGTGGTTTTTAAAGTCTATTCCCCATGAGACAATACAGTATGGATAAAATATATCACATAAACTTTTTCTTGGCTAAATTTATTAGACTTTTCTAAACCAAATTTGACACAAACTCATTCTTTAAGCCCAAACAAAACTCAATTAATGTAGGAAAATACAAGTCCTACAGGAGTCACATCTCTAATGACTGAGTTGGGGGTAAGAGAGAGAGACTGCAACATGAAACAATGGAGGGAAGGCAAGGAGAGAGAAAGGGGATGACCACTTTCCTTGAAAGGAGAAGGCATGCTGCCAAGACGGCCTCATGGCTAACCCTTTATGCTAACTTCCGCTGGTTTTCAAGGTCTGTGCACAGAGGAGGACTAAGGCAGGGAGAAGAGACTAGGACTAGGATTGCCTAATCTGCTCAGAGTCAACACAAGGATCGTTCTGGTTCACTGGAAGGTGCCCTGACCTTGGAGCCATGAGGTCTGGATTTGTATTCTGGCTCAACAACTACTAGCTGAATAACTTTGGAAAATCACTTCCCTCAGTTTCCCCAACTTTAAAATACAGGTAGAGATGACTGCAATGACTCTATGGTCCCCGCTGACTCTGGTGTTCTGAAATAATGACCACAAGACCCCGAAAACCCACCCCTAATGGCGAGCATCCCTAGCTGTCTTCCTTGTCTAGAAGGTAATTGGAAAAAAAACACAGATTCAAGGTCTATGCCACCACGCAAAAGTGCAGAGGGTCAGAAAAGGTAGTTTTCACACCTGACACTTTTCTGAACCAATATCAATGAATGTCTTATTAAATCTACCCTTTGGGGATAATAAAGTCATAACAGAACAAAGGTGTCGTGGTTTCAATGTCATCTCTTTCGAAAATAAGCATTCTTGTTTTGCTGTAGAATGTAAATAGCAGCAGGAGGGCATTATTCTTTCTACTCTGTTGACACATTTAAACTCATTTTATGAACCTAGTTTTCCTTTCTATTCTACAACACAAGGAAAAATATTTTTGGAGAGGAATTTCATCTCGCAGAGCTGATGTTCCCAGTGCCTTGGGAGGGAAGGCCAGCTCATGCAGCACTGAAACAGCTGGTAAAAGCCAATTTTCTCACCTTTTAATTGCTTTCTGTGACTAGCTTGCACCAGTGCAGATGTCCACTTGGGAAACAGTAAGTGGCCTGAAGAGTCACATTGTTGGGGCTGGGGACTAGGAGCCTTCTTCCCAGCTCAAAAATGCTTCAACTGGAGGATGGAAGAGAAAGAAGAGTCATTATACATGAAGATTTATTATTAACAGCACCTGCCTAACCATATTGGAGCATTAAAAAAAAAAGCCCTACCAAATTATTCACAAGATTTTGTGATTTTGCATGAATTACAGAGTGTCCCAAAGACGGAATGAGTGGTTTTATGAACTAGGGAGTTCTCTATCCTCCCTCACCCAGCTTAGGTCTAGTGTGAGCAGAGGCTGGATCATCAGCCTATCAGGTCTGCTGGAGAAGGCCTGCCTGCTCCATTCACAAAGCTGTCAGGAAACCCTTTGCCATACAAAATCTTTTCACTGGTCTGGTCCAAGTCCCTAAGTTATCTCCAAGTCAGCATTCCAGCAGATGAGACTCAAATGTGACATGTGCTCCTCATGAGAACTCCCCTTTGGAGAAACTCCCCTTAGGAGTGACTGTTAGAAAGTCCTTGGTGGGAATGGGGCGGAGTCCTGGCAAAAGCCCAAGTTTCCATGCCAGAGAAGGTCAGCACCAAACCACTGCCCATCACAGCCAGCTCATTGCAATAAGGATCAATAGCTCAGGTCAGTTTGTCTCGACAAGGGGACTTCTGAAGCTTGTAAGAGCTCAGCTCTCACAGTGGATTAAAACAGCAGAAGGTAGCACCCAACAATCAGCTCTGGACTCAAGGGAATTCTTGTTTTAATCCCTGATGGGCCTACAGTCACCAGAATCCCTGAAGATGAAACACTTCTGTTCTGAAATAGCCCCTGAAAGGAAAACTCAGGCAGCTGTGAGATTTTGCCCTGGCTTTGTGATACTTTCTACAATCACAAAAGAAATTGGTTTGGAAGCAAAATGAAAACGAAACATTTCTGGAAAATTCAGAGATATCTAATTGGGTTTCCTTCTTCAGCAAGACCAAACTAGTTATTTGAAAAGTTTCAAAGCAAGGATGGTGCATAGCTCATATGAAATTAAGCAGCATTCTTTAAAAAAAAAAAAGGATAGAATGGTGAGGCAGAATTTGCTTAGGCCGTTTAAAGGATGAATTACGGTTTTTAGTGAGCAAAGACTCCCAGACATATTGTATACGGTACATAATGCTGACGAGCCTTTTTGTAATGGTGCTGACTTGTGAAATTCCCCCAAACTACTCTTCGGGGCATTTGTGGTAGATGCATTTGTTCACAAAGGCATTTTGGTAAATCATTTGCCATTCATTTTATGGAAGGAGAGTGTGAGAGGAAAGCATATGGATCAGAAGCTTGCTAAAACCAAATTAGATGACAATATAGATCATCTCCTCCTTGTATAGCAGGCCTATCACTTTTTCATAGAAAATTAGATTAGTCTGACAGGAATTACTCTTTAAAAATTCAAGCTGCTCATTGTCTACTATCCTGTCTGATTTTTAGGTGTTGTGATGAGACTTTTAAAATGATTTATTCTGGTATTTTTCCAAGTGTGAAAACATTCAGTTTCTATTTGAAGAGCTAAAGAGTGCCCTTTGTAAATTTCAGAATTATATATGTGGATATATATAAACCTTGGGAAAGGGAGCAAAGGACTAGAAATGATGCAAGACACACAGTCTACTGTAGGACACATCCAAGCAGCAGAAGATGACACAGAGAACAACATAAGAATGAGTGATCACAGGGGCAACTGTTACCTCTGAGAAACTGGTCAGAGAACCCTCCATACAGCTGGGGAGTGGGCTTTCTTTCCCCTACAAAGAAATCAGGTCATGCTTTGAACTGATTCCTTCCACCCTCTCTGCCAGGGCATGGTACAGAGAAGGCTGGCTCTGACCAGTCTCTGGGTCACTTCATCTCTTTGGAGGTCACCACACTCTACAGTAACCAAGCACCAATGAATGCCTGCCCTCAGACACAAGGGGAAGAGGGTGGGAACGGCAGGGTCCAACATGCCTGAGAAATGGGCATTCGCACACTTCATCTGATGACCTCCCAGGGATGGGAAGCTCACCACGTCTCACTCTTTTAATAGATGGCTCTAATTGCTAGGAGGTTTTTCCTGGGATGGAGACAAAACCTGCTTTTCTCCAGTTTCTACCCATTGGTTTCTCCGAGACCACAAAGAGCAGGTCTGATTTCTATCTTCCCCACCCCCTCACTCCCACCCAAGTCTTCTCTCTCCAGGTTTACCACCTCCAGTCTTTTCCTGCCTGAGTCTAGAAGGGCTTGATACTGAACTGCTCACCAGCCTGATCCCCTTCTCTGGGATACACCAGTCTGTCAATCCCTAAGCATAATTTGTCCACAGCTTTCCTAAACAGGAGGGCCAGAACTAGCCAGTGAGAGAGATGGCATTGCCCCAGGCACTTCTGGGAGGCAATTACCTCCTGAACTTCACTTGCCAAGCTGCCCAACAGCCCATCAGCTCTTCCAGTTAAGGGGTCACACTGACACGACGGGCCACCAGAAGCCCAGGTCTTGGTTATGTACATTACTGCCTAGAATGTTCTGTCCATTAGGTATTTATATGGGGGATTTTTTTTTTAGTTTCCCAAATCAAAATGAGATGTAGCAGTTTGGTGTTCTTGACAGAAATGAAGGAGTTAAGTAGACAACCATATTCAAAGCTTTTAATCTAAAATAGATAACAGTGAGGTAACAGAGTATTACTGTCAGGGACACTGGGCAAGATTACCTACGTAACTGCCTCTTACCTATTACTGGGCTATGGGAAGGTGGGAGCACATGAGGACCTAAAGGAACCCAATTCTCTAACAAACACTCCAACTCTAAAGGGCACCAGCAGGAACAATCATAAAGCCAACCCAAAAGAGTCAATCATAAACACCCCCATCAATAGAAGGCTGCACAGACTGCCAGAACCCTGTGGAATGGAGACAGGCTGAGACAGCTGGAAGGCAAAGGGTAAACTAGTCCCATTTCATGGCAGGGCCAGGGCCAGACCAGTACCCAGTGTGGTGGAGGCTACCCAGAGGCCTCCTCCCCCATCTGCAGCAAAAGCTCCAGGGAGCCTGGGCCTGAATCTCAGCAGCACACAAGGCCAGACAATTCCTTCAGAAGAAAAGGCCCAGGTACAGCCACCAAACTCCAGATCTGGCAGGCAAACTTGTGGGAGCAGAGCTCAATCCAAGTACAAACCCCTAATCCAGAAAGTGAGGCTAGATTTGAGTACAGAGAAAAAAAAAACCTGTGAAACACAATCACGAAATGCCTTGGAATGAGAGGAAGAGAATAAATATACAAGTGCATGAAGAGACGGAAAGAAAAGCATGTCCCACATGACCTGTAAGAAATGAATACAAGGGACACATGGTGAAAAACAGAAGAAACAAGAGCAAGAACTAGCACCTTGAAAACACAGTGCTCAATCTTATAAGGTGTCTGTGAAGAACAACTCCCGGGAAAACAGGTCAGGGAGCCATCATCTAAGAATCGCCTCTGATACCGCATTTCAAGAAGGTGGAGTCAGAGGCCAAAGGGAAAATAACAAGAACTCACCAATCACCCCTGAAAGAAATCCCAAACAAAAACTCCCTGGAATGTCAGAGAAAATAAAGAGATTTCAGGTTAAAGAAAAACTGTTGCAATCAAAATGAAAGAGTCCAATCAAGTACCAAGAAGCTACAATTGAATCATACAAAACTTGGCAGATGCTGCCATAAATGTGAGAAGAACTTGGAATATGATATTCCAAAAAGAAAAAAGGTAAGGACTTACAACCAAAACTGAGTGTAATCCTACAGGGGGAGAAATGCATCTTCAATGAAATAAAGGCTTTCCAAGCATTGTTGATGAAAAGGTCAGAAATGGGTTGGGGTTTTGAAATGAAAATTAGGAAACCAGTGAAACAGTAAGGTTTGATCATTTGATCAAATGGGCAAGACTAGACAAACTCATTCAATACTAATGGAGAAGTAACAAGTATCCTCTCAGTGCTCTAATATCCACAAGGATGACAGATAAAGCTAAAAAGATGGGCACAGGGCCTGGGGGTGGCTTTTTTATGTTTTGACAGTCTTAAGAAAAAGGAAAGTTAGGGGACTCAACAGGGAAGGGAACTTACTTTCTCAAACAGAGGTACATGGGGGGATGAGGAAAACCTTGGAGGAAGGCAGGTACCCAGGCACTGCCCACTCTTGCCTAAACTAGATGAAGGAACACAGATTACAGGCCCCTATCCCCCAACACACACACACACACACACACACACACACACACACACACACACACACACACAGAGTGAACAAATACAGTAAACAGAGAAATAAAAAACCAGACAGGAAGAAGAGAGAAGGAGATTTAAGAGGAGTATTCCAGTGGCTCCTTATCGCTTCCAGGATCTTCTGACATTCACAGTCCTTTATTCTAGCTCCTTCCTACCTTCCCAATCATCTCTCACCTTACTCCCCAAACAGGTACTCTTCAACCTAGTGCCAGTGACCTTCTGGCCATTCTACTCTTATCTCTTGGTTCTGGGCATTCTCTCTGGCTGTCCCCCATGCCTGGAACACTCCTCCACTCCACCCCATTGACCTCCCTGGCTTCCTTTAAGTCCCATCTTTTACTGGAAGCCTTCCTCTTGTTGTTCAGTGGTTTCAGTCATATCCAACTCTGCATGACCCCATCTGGGGTTTTCTTGGTAGAGATACTAGAATGGTTTGCCATTTCTATCTCTGGTTCATTTTACAGATGAGGAAACTGAGTCAAAAAGGATTAGGTGACTTGCCCAGGGTCACACAGCTAGTTAAGTGTCTAAGGCTGGATTTGAACGCAGGTCTTCCTGACTCCAGGCTTGGAGCTCTATCCATTGTGCCACCTAGCTACTCAATTTTGCCACCTTCTTTCTATTAATTATTTCCCATTCATCCTGTATGTGGCTTGCTTTGTGTATATATTTTTGTTATGTTGTCTTCCCTCATTAAATTGTAAGTTCCTAGAGGGCAGAAGCTGTCTTTGCCTCTTTTGTGTCCCCAGTGCTTAGCACAATCCCCAGCACAGAGCAGAAGTTTAAGAACAG